GGTGCGTGGAGCGGGGATGGGGCTGGGGGGGATGAGGGTGAGGTTTAACGACCCCACCCGCGAAAGGGGGTGTAACAGTGCAAACACCCGCGTCTTTCAGGGCACAGAAAGCCCCAGCCTGGCTTTTTCAACCGCTCTCGTCGCTCCCTGCCAGCGATGGCGTTCTCCGAACCCATACCCCTCTGAGCGGTCATGGAAAACCAGCGGGACGTGGTCAGTCCAGCTGGAAGCGCGGCCTCGGAGACGTACGGCGGTAGATTTGAAAGCACAGGGGAGCAAAACTAAGGCGAAGCAGCTGTAAATCTCTGTGTCCCGCAAAGCGTGGCAGGCTGCCCTCGTCCCCCCGAATGCCGGGAGCGCCTCGGTTCTGTCAGACCTCACCCACCCCTTACGTATTTGTCTCTGCTAATAAAAGCAGAAGCGCCCTAAAAAAGAGAGATTTGGCTGTTCGACTCAAACCAGCGTGGCCTTTTAGAAACATCACACGGAAGAAACTCGTGGTTCAGCTTCTCACGGGGAAAGTCTGCCGGGCGTTGCTGGTTATGGCAGAATCATCTCCAGGGATTCCCATCCCAACAGGGAGAGCCCGGGTGTCAGTGCGGAGAAAGGATTTGTGTCCTGCAATCAGCTATTCGTGTAATTAATCCTCCCCGAGCCAAGGGGATGGCTCACCTGGGAGAGCCAGACTAGCCTGCGGGTCGGGCTCCGAGGCGGTGACCCCGGACGCCAACTCAGCCGCCAACACAGCAGTTGGCGTTTAGTTCTGCGAGAGCCCTGAGATCCTTGATAAGCCCTGAGATCCTTGATAAGGCTCCAGCAGCAGCTGCATCCCCTTATCTCACAGCAAAAACACTCAACGGCAGCTGCGTGGCCACCGGCACCGCTCACCGGGCAGCCAGCAAACCGAGCAAGAGCTCGGCTCGGAGCTGGTCCAGTTGGATTGATAACGAGTATTTGCGGGTTTTTTCTTTGCTCAGTCCCTACTGATTTGCCTGCTGCCTTTGGGTGGGGGGATGTTCTCTGTGCGTGCTTTATTGATTTAAAGATAGGTTTTTAAATGGGATGTATTAAGATGGCAAGTCTTAATGGGGCTCAGCGTTAGAGGAGCTCCATGGCACTGCTGTTTTCTTCCTGCTAGTAGTGACTTTCCTTTCTCTTTTTCTTTTTTTTTTTTTACTTTTTAATCCTCATGCAGCTAGATGGAGGACAGTATGTCTGCTTCCCAGCCTGAAAGTGACTCTAAAGATAAGCAGTAGATCACCTGTAGGACCACAAGCAGACAAGCTCCTAGGCATATAAAATATCTACGTGCTCTTTAATACTGGTTCATTTCCCTTTTTTAACCTTGGTTTTCTTAAGTGCTGCTATTCAAAGCTGCTGTACTTCTCTAAGCAGTGCCTGTAGTGTTACAGAGCCACCCAGAGGCGTACCTAGCCTAGCTGGGCTACGGTGCTCATAGTTTTTTCTGGAGGAGACACCAGAAAACCTGGCTCTTTGACCTTTGGGTTCTTGTGTTCGATGTCGGGGAGTCCGTGCTGCGCCCGAATGGCAGAGCCAATCCATCCTGCAGCTGCCAGACCAAGACGCTGATGCACAGGCTTCAAAAGAAAGCAAGCCAAGGTTCAGAAAGGAAGGCGGCCGGACTGCGCCAGCGTCGGCTGTTGGCGTTAATACTGGCCCTGGCTGCAAAGTCCTCCACGAGAGGTGGTTTTTTACCCCCCTTTTGGTGAGGAGTAAGAGCCAGGTGAGCACCTGGTAGCCGCTGCTCCACAACCCGCTCCTGGCGGAGGTTCCTGACCGCAGGCATCCAGCCCAAGGCCCGGGGGAGCAGTGGCTGGGGCCCGGTGCTGCCTCGCACCTTTGATGCCTCCATCCCCGAGGCGAAGGCCAAGGGCGGGGCGGGCCCCGGGACGGGGC